TGTGTGTGTGTGTGTGTGTGTGTGTGTGTGTCCTTGTTTATACTACTTTGTGAGGCCCATTTTTCCAACTTATACTGCATTGTGAGGACCAACTGCTCCTTATGGGGCCCAAAGCCCCAGCCCCATAAGGAGAAGTCCCGTTGGTGGGTTAGGGGCTAGGTTTAGGACTAAGGTGTGAATTGAGGATGTGTTAGGTTTAGGGTTAGGTATGTACTGGTAATGGTTAGGTTATGGATAAAGGTCATGGTTAGGCTATAGAAATGAATGAAAAATTAATGGAAGTCAATGCAAAGGCCCCATAAAGATAGCAAAACAAACCTGTGTGTGCGTGTATGTGTGTGTGTATTTTGAAATTATAGCCCCCCTGGAGAAAACTCCACAAGCCGCCACTGGCACAGTGACTACTTTTGTCTTTTTAAACAGGCAGATTGACGGATTACGTGTTTGAAGACGTGTGATGCTGATTTCAGGACACAGCTGAACATGTCTCTATGGTCAAAATGATTTTCAATCTTTTCTAGTGTACCATACTTTACTTCAAGACCAGTTTCATTGGACAACTAAATAACTTTAGGAGTTACCGATAACTTCATTCAAGATAGCTGCCAGATAATTAACCTTAGCAAATACAAAAATTGACACAACTCAGTCAGATTTACAAATACTAACTTAAAATTTGTTGTGGTAGTAGCTGGGAGCCATTTATGACATATAAAACAATTTATAACTGATTGTGTTATTAAAACTTTGGAACGCAATGCTGTGGGCAAATGCAACTTTTATTTCTTAACTGAATTTATGGCATCTTGAGGATTTTTAGCCTGAGTTGTGTCTCTTTGGAAGACTGAAGTAAAAATCTGCCTTTTTAATTTCAATCCTTCCATTGGTTTACCAGCTGGCTGTTATTTTTGTGTGTCTGCTCAAGATCAAAGTTGTAGGACAAAATAAAAGAAAGGAGATGAGAAAACGTTAAATTGTGACCAAAAAAATCATGTTATTGTGCATGTTACGGTCAGAAATAATTTGTACATTCCATAAAGATATGACATGAGAATCATTAAATCGAGTTTTAGATCAATGTTCATTTGGACATGCCTTTACACACAAACACACAGAGAAAAATGACTGCAGAGTTTCAGTACTTACTAGCAGGGTGCAGCAGAGACAGAGACAGGGTGGATTTAGACAAAGAGAGCGCTTGAAGGAGAGATCGGCTGTGGCTGACATTGTGGAGAACTCCATCTACAGGGCACAGTGGACAGAGCGCTGCTAGCACATTATCTACAGAAGGTGCAACTATCAGTCACATCCAGGCCCAGAGCTGCTAAATGGAGCTTAAAGTCTTTTCATGCAGTTCTGTTACTGTCATTATAAAAAGAAAGAGAGAAAAGATCAACTAGAGCAAGAAGTGAATAATTTTACATATTCTGATGAAAATATTTGTTTAGTCTTTTAGATAAAAACTATTTCAGTTTCTAAACAATTGTTAAAAAACTAGAGAACAAAACCAGCTGGTCTGACTCAGTTCAAAGTGATTAAATTTGGAAAACACAGGAATAACATTTTAAGACCAAAAGGTAGCATACCTTAACAGCTTTTTTGCTTTAAACAATATTTATTTGCAAATAAACTTACTGACAGAAACATTCAGCACCCAGACCGAGTGGAGGAAATAAAATGAAACTGCACGTGTCATGTGACTGATTGTTAAGATGGACTGTACTTATATAGCACCTTTCCATCTTATCAAGACACTTTACAGCACAATCTGTGCCCTCACATACCTCCATGCACACATTCATCAGCACTCTACTGTGTCTCTGCAAGACTAATCGGTGCTTTAGATCACATTCAGTTCAATTCAGTTTATTTATAAAGCTCCAAGGCACAACAGACGTCATCTGAACAGAAGCATTCATATATAAAAACAAGTTAAACAGTCATACACTGATGGGACACACATCAGAGGCAATGAGGGGTTCCCTGTCTTGCCCAGGGACACCTCAGCACGTGACTGCTGGTGGAATTGAACCCCCAACTTGCCCATTGGAGGACGACGGCTCTAACCATTCAGCCACAGCTGTCCAATAGATCTACTTTAAAAACTACGTTTTACATTAATAGAAATGTTTTTTAATCTGTCGTTTTTCTTATCAGCTCTGCAAGATAAACACAGAACACAACTAAACTTCATCAGATCATTTTATTTATGGTTTAAACTGTTGTGCTTTTTGAACAGATACAAATTCTTCGCTGTATTGCTCTTTGTAAAGTAACGTTGAGAGCCTGACAAGCCGATGTAAGTTGGGTTAACAGCTTCAGTAGCAGCCTGCAGTAGGATGTTAATTTCACCTTCTAACATAACTCTTGTAGCTTGTTGCAAACATTTGTTTAAAAACAGTGTTACCCTAAAAACAGCCATGTCACTCCTCTATTTGGCAGAGCGGCTGAGGATAAAATGTACAACTAACCAGTGATGTAAAATATTACTTCTAACCTACAAAGCTCTCAACAACCTGGCTCCATCTTATATTACAGATCTTATTGTTCCATTTGTTCCTAACAGAGCACTTCGCTCTCAGACTGCAGGTTTACTTGTGGTTCTTAGTTTCCAAAAGCAGAAAGGGAGGAAGATCTTTCAGTTCTCAGGCTCCTCTCTTGTGGAACCAACATCGAGTTTTTGTCCGTGAGGCTGACACATTGTCCAGTTTTAAGACTGGACTTACGACTTTCATTTTTGATAAATCCTATAGTTAGGGTTGGCTTGTTATGCTGCCTTAAGCTAATGGAGGACACACTAACCTCATTTCTTAAAATTAATAGTTTTCATTTGATACTATTTCTGTCTTAACATGTGATTCTTGACCTGCCATTGTGTATCTGTTCCTACCAAACACAGCTGGTCAAAGCAGATGGCCGCTTGTCCTGATCCTGTTTCTGCTAAAGGTTTCTTTCACGAGGGAAGAAACAGTGCCCTGAGACAACTTTTGTTGTGACTTGGAACTTTATAAATAAACCGAATTGAATGGACATCATATATTTTAACAAGCATAAAAGAATAGGTGAATTCCACCCTCAGACATTGTAAATGGACTGTACTTATACAGCACCTTTCTATCTTATTAAGATACTCAAAGTGCTTTACACTACAATCTGTGTCTCATTTACCCATTCATACAGCACTCTACTAGCTCTCTACAAAGACTAATCAGTACTTTATCACATTCATACACTGATGACACTTGGGCATGTGACTGCTGGTGGATCCAAACCCCCGAGAACAACTGCTCTAACCACTCAGCCACAGCTGCCCCCTCCCACAGCTTGTGTTGGATGTAACTGGGACCCTGAGTACACAGTTTCGTTCCACCTCATGTACCACATGTGATGTGAATGACAATAAAGAACCTTGGATCCTTGTGTGAGTTTCATTAGTCCTAACATTGCCACTGTAACGTTTGTATGCTCCACAGGCAGCTGCATGATCCGACCACCCGGCTTCATGCAAACCACAATGTGAGCCAGATCAGACTCCATCAGATCCTGGTGAAGAAGCTGCTAATCTTCTGCATCTACTGACCTTCATCAGAGCCTCCAGCAACTAGCTTACTCCTTACTCATGAAGTCACAACTTATGTCCTCTGCTCCTCCATTCTAGACATGGAGCTTCTTGTAAATAAATTGTTTATAGGCCCATTACCAGTCTGAATGTGGATGACATTGCGTACTACTGGGTGCTGAACAGTTTTTGTCAGTGATTGCAGAAAATATTAGTGGTGAGGCTATAGCTTAGAATTGTCAGATGTGATGTAACTCCATTAGAAAGGAAAAAATCCAGTGAAATGAGGAATAAATCTTGTTAGTTATGTGCTTGACTGAAGTTTTCTTGATGATACAGGTGTGAGTTTGACCGACCGTGGCTGATTTCTGATGTGTGGTTGTCCCGAGGATGACGTGCGGCAAGGAAGCTGATCTTTGGATATGAGTAGGAGTAGGAGCGCAAACGAACGCCCTCTTCACTCAGGTCCTACATAACAAAAAATAAATTGAATCAATGCAAAAACATAAGATTAGGCGAAATATGATATGAGTATTTACTTTTGAGACGGGTTCACATATTGAGGCAGACTGGCTGCGAGTGCAGGCGAGATCAGGAGCTGCTCGAGCCTTTTCCCTTCTGTCTTCACTTCTCCGAACGTCTGACAGGAGCGGGGAAAGAGGAGACTGTGGGTCCGTTCTCTCATCCTCACTGTCCACTTCCACATCCACCAGACTGAGATTTAAAAACAAAATCACTAGTCAAATGTGCTCATGGACACATGGACCCCCCCTTCTTCAAAATGTCCTACCTGAGGTCGCAGGTTTCTATCGTTGGACTGTCTCTCTGATTGTTCTGCTCAGCGGGGTGAGGACAATCCAATCTTGAGTGATCACCAGATGAGAGGGGGAGGGAGCATGGTACTGAGTCTCTTAAATGGGGTGGAGGGGTGTCAGTGGCATTAAAAAGATCTTCTGTGTCCCATAAGGTGCCATCAGTCCCTGTGCTGTCCCTGGTCACACCACCAACCCTGAACTGAACGTCATAAGCCTGAAAGATCGAGAGCAGCAACATGTTCAGTAAGCAGCAAAATAAGTTTACTATAAATGTATAGAAAAAAGATATTTGACCTGCGTCTGCTGATCACTGCTGTTCATCAAGAACATCAAAGCATTGGTTTCCTGCTGGTTGAACTGGTTCTGAACTTCATTAGTCTGCATGAGATGCTCATTTACTGGAAAGAATGAGTAAATCCTCATGTTATTTGCAGAATAGTTATCCCCCGCCATCGTAAGGTGAAAGCTGGGTGATAATCTTTCCGTGTGCAAACCTCACGTGACAATCATTGAACACCGATCATCTAAACATGTCAGAACAGCAGTTTACTTAATCCTCCCCTGCTTCTTCCCGGTAGTTCAGAATTTTAGTTTCACCACAATGCATTCATCTTTCTGTGCTCAAATGTCAAGGCTTATGGAGAAGAAAGGAAAATGTGAGGAGCTACTGCATTCCTACTCCCATTTGACCTTTAAAGGTTTGTTTTCAAACTTCCACAAATCATCGTCAGCAGCAAGCTGTCTGTTGTTGTGAAAGAGAAAAAGGTGGATTATTGGCTCGCACTGAGTCATCCCTCTTAGCTGTATCTGCTCAATGTTCATGCACAACCGGTCTTTGTAATATGACATGCACGGTTCGGTTATAAATCCTAAAACCCATGATTGACCTATCTCAATAATCCTACAGTGGTAAATATTATTTTACATGACTGAAAGGCTGATCATCACAAAATTTTTCTCAAAGGTAAAAGGCAAATCGACTCTTGATAGGTTTCACAATGTAAAAATAAAATAAAATAAAACAAATGCCGCTGCTGTATTGTTAAGGGTTTTCTTATTAATCATGTTTTAGAATGCAATGGGATTGCACATGTCAAAACATGTTGTGTTTCATGAGATATTTTGCTGACAGACAGACTTGACTCCAAACAGTTAATAGCAATATTTTCAACAAAAATCTTGCCCTATCTTTTAGCACAGTATGAATTGGGAATCAGTCTCAGCTACTACCACACCATTTACCTTGTGCTTAGAAAACTTTAACTTTCAGCTATTGATGTGCTAACTTCAGGCTTTAGCTACTGCTATGCTGGTTTAAGGCTTTAGTGACTAGTTTGTAAATTTCAGCTTTATTGGCTACTGTTTTAGCTTTTAGATAAGGTTTTGCTTATTTTAGCTTTGTATGAATTTTACTTTTTAGCTACAGTTTAACAAATGTTGCTTTTAGCTATGGTTTTGTTAACATTTAGTTACTGTTCTGTTGTGACATTTAGCTACTGTAGATACATTTTATGAGAAATTTTTGTTTGTTTGTTTATTCTACTTATTTTAGCTTGTTGAATTTGCTATTACTAAATTATACTTATTAGTAGTAGTAGTAGTGATACTGAGTATATCCAGTGGTAATAAACACGCTTTACTACTAACTGTGGTAAGATGAAGAGGACGTGATGATGAAGCATATTTTGAGTTCATAAAATCAGTCATGAAGATCTTGTATGAACCTGAAGCAGTAGATGGAAACTATTGTGAAAATCTTGGTAACAAAAAAATATATATACATATATGTATATATACATACAGTATATGTTTATATACATATATGTTTATATACATATATGTTTATATATATATATATATATATATATATATATATATATATATATATATATATATGTACATATATATATGTATGTATATATATATATATATGTGTGTGTAATTATTTGTATTCATGTATGTAAATATATATGTATGTATATGTATATATACATATATATATATGCATATATGTATATATACATACATACACAAATACATTTATATATTTATATACATATCTATATATGTATATATATACATATATACACATATACATATATTTATATATACACATATACATATATT